CGTTGCCATCCAAGCTGTGTCTGTCTGTCTCTGTCTGTCTCTGTCTGTGTCTGTCTATGTCTGTCTGTCTCTGTCTGTGTCTGTGTCCTGTGTCCTGTGTCCTGTGTCCTGTGTCCTGTGTCCTGTGTCCTGTGTCCTGTGTCCTGTGTCCTGTGTCCTGTGTCCTGTGTCCTGTGTCCTGTGTCCTGTGTCCTGTGTCCTGTGTCGTGTGTCTTGTGTCTTGTGTCTTGTGTCTTGTGTCTTGTGTCTTGTGTCTTGTGTCTTGTGTCTTGTGTCTTGTGTCTTGTGTCTGTGTCTGTGTCTGTGTCTGTGTCTCTGTGTGTCTGTGTCTGTGTGTCTGTGTCTCTGTGTGTGTGTGTGTGTCTCTCTGTCTGTCTCTGGGCACGTCCTAGACACTTAGCCCCGGAACACTAAGTACATACATGCTTGTACCCCAGCTGCCACCGATCAAAACCACTGCACACATGCTACCAGTAGGCTCGGGCCAGCGAACGCGGGATAGACCCAGCATGCCCCAGCCAGATCCTCTGCTTGCGATGGCTTTTGCCCATCTTCATCGCTGGTCGTCCAGCGGGCCTTCCCAACACAGGACTGTCGTGCGCTTCATCAGAGGCTGCTTGCGCGACGGTGCCTCCCAAGCCAGGTCCCTCTTCCGTTCCCGTTCCTCCGTGGAGAGCACGAGTCCGAGTCGCAAACTGCCACGGCCCTGTCTCTGCGTCTGAGGCAGACGCAGCCATGGAGCCTCGGCCACGGCCTGGCTGTGAGCTAAAAGCACTTCTCTTGCGCTGGCGCTTGCGCATGCGAGTGGCGCTGACTGGCTGAGTGCACGGCTTCGAATCGGATTGCGTTCATACCAGTTCGTGTCATCTCGGTGGCGTCGGCCGTCGTCCACCTCTGCCGGGCCCCCACGACTGCCATCACAGCACGATCTGTGCAAAGAACCTTAGTGCCTCATCGTCGTTCGACCGACGGCCCTTTTTGTCGTCCCTGTCTCTACGACGACGGCTTCGACTCCTGCTCCTGTGAGTGCCACTCGACGGCGGCAGTGTGGAGAAGCAAAGCGCTTGCCAGTTCATGACAGTTCTCTGAAGTCCTTCTCCGGCTCCTGCTCCTCTCAGTGTGCAATTCTGGAGATGTGCGGGGCGCAAATTTGGGAGCTCCTGCTCCGCTTTCCGTGCTCTGCTGGAGCTTCCTGGCATGGCCCGTGGTCTTGTAGGAACAGAGGCAGAGTCATCAACTCCCTGGCCTCTGGAGGCGCTTGCACGGGCTCCCCGCTGCTGTCCCAGACATGGGAGTGGATGGCCTGAAACTCGAGTTCTCCTTCGTGAGCTTCCTCTCTTGGTGTGTATAGCCCAATGTGGAGCCATTCCTACTCGCGGCATAATAGTCTGGCGACTGCTCGCAACTGCGGGCTCTTGCAGGCCTGGCGCAGCTCGCGCCAAAGGCTCATCTCTGGAAACGTCTGCATAATTTTCGGCCAGCCTCACGTTGATGCCCGGACAGAATTTGCCGTCAAACACCGGCCCAGGCTGTGCCAGCCAGAGTGATCTGCGGAATCTTCTGGAAGGAAACTCAGTAAGCTACTGCCCCGTACACAGTCGTTGAAGCGCTTCGCCTGCCGAAGCAGGTTGTAGCAGATCTTAGCCGCAGCACCTGTGTTCTGTAGCGGCGCGTTGCCTCTGCCATAGCGGCCCTGTTGAGGAGGCACAAGAACTGCGCTCGGAAGCATTTGGGAGCCTGGCATCGAAGCAGCCAAGCAGCAGGAGACATGCCGTTCGATGTCCAGGGTCCGAACACAGTCGTACGCTGTCCTGATTGGCACCTGGCGTTTCGCCAAGCTGTGATAAAACACCTGACAAGCATGTCCGAGAAGCGCGCGCTGGCGTAAAGATCGAGAAGATGCGTCTTTTCAAACCTTGCCGATGGCGATACCGGCTTGCCGGATCTGATCTGTGATATTCCACTGTCTTGAAGCAAGGCCATTGGAGCCGCACCACTCTGTCATTAGCGTCTGCATGTGACAGCTGTAGAACATTCGAGAAGATCGCCTTGCACGGGCTGGCTGCACCCAACCAGGCAGAACTCATCCAGACATGCCGGCAAGCAGCTCAAACTTGATACGGGCTCGCCCCTGCCAGATCATGACGCAACGCTAAACAGGCACACAGGCCTAGAATCCTCGAGCGATGCTGCTTAGTTGCAGCCCTGCATGCCCCTCAATGCCCAGCACAGGCAAGGCTCTGCCTGCGCCACGTTTGAGACTTCCCCTTCGGTGACTATGCCACAGACTGCACCTTGCAGGCGACAATGGACAGCAGATCTCAAAAGACTGCGGAAAAGAGTGGGTTGAGGCGACAGCAGAGCAGTCGACTGGCTTCGGCAAACAACGCCTCCCATAGCGTCTAAGTCTAAGGAAATCCACGGTGTCCTCTGGGTTCCATCAGAGAGACAGCCTCCTGCGGCCTCTCGAGCATCATCTCGGTGGCCGTGCCACCCATGACGCCAACCTGAAAGAACAGGGCAAAGCTGCATGAATCCACATTGATCAAGCCCCGCTACTCGGAATCGAGCGATGAGTTTCAAAGCATGGCGTTGCTCCTGAAGTCCTTGCCGAAGTTCTTCGGATGCCTGCTCAAGGAGATGCGTACAAGAGGCCCGGCCGGACGACGCGAAACCACGCTAGGCTGAGAGGGAGTATTATAGGCCCTTCGCTGCAGGTTGACCCCAGCAGCCTTACAGTCCTAGGCAGGACAGCTTCACAGGGACCAAGATGAAGCGCAAGCATCTCAAAAGGTTACCACTTACTGTCAATGCCTACTTAAATCTGCAAGAAACCTTTACGAAAACTAGGAAACATCGAGTCACATATGCTCTTAACTCTCTACCCTTAAAAGTACAGCACCCGAATGGACAGAGACATCATTCCAGCACCGCGGCTACCCTTGGGGCTGGAGATTGTCTAACCTGTCTGAAAGACAGTCAGCGCTCAGCCCAACAAAAGGAGTTGGCCATCGTTGGCTCTACTTGCAGAAATCATGATGCATCCCACGAGGGCTACGACCATCTGCGACTTGGCAGGCCTCCGAGAGTCTGTGGAAAGCAGCTTGAGCCTCAGCTTTGTGAGCCAGAAAAAGCATGCTTATCTCACAACCGAACAACACTGCTGATTCAACTCGAAAATTCGCAAAACCGTCTTGCGCCAATCGAGATGAACAATGCATTGCAATGCTACTAGCCCTTCTCTCATTGTCGTAACAGGTCCCCATTTCAAGCGGAACGTGTCAAGTCTCGTCCACTGCTCTCCAATGCCGAGTTTAGCGGGTCACGGACCTCTGGATGCAGCCGAGCAGCCTTGTCACCCAAATCTGGGTTCTTGTCCGGGTGGAGCGCTCGAGAAAGCTGCCAGGCCAGGGCAGATGAGCAGATGTTGCAAAACAGGTCGACTCGAGCATGGCGGCGCCTGGCGGTATGCGTAGGCAATGTCAGACTCCCCGTAGCCGCCCAGATGGGCACCACCAAGCCGCAGCACGGCCCCAGCGAAAGGGACTCGACCATCCTCTTTCGTAGGAACAGATGCAGTGCCCACTGCAAGCATACGGTTCTAGAACACAAATGCTATGGAAGAGAACGCCACGGCCTCCGGACAGATTCTCACCACCTCATCTGATGGCAGTCCGACAAGGATCTTCTGCTCCTTGTGGGCATCCGCGACCTGAAAATACACTAGCACACGGGGATTTCAAGGCACTGCATCCGCCTTGCCCGCCAACGCGACACCTATGACCACCGGACTCTTGCTTAACTATGCTATGCTCATGAAATCCAGAAACCCAAACCCCCTGCACCTTGAACCCTTCCGTTCTAAAGTCAGAAGCCGCGTTCCGAATCAGCGACGAAATCGATAGAAGCAAAAGCCCGGCAGCATGAAACGATGGGGCAGAACTTGCAACATCGATTTGAGTCGAGCGTGTATCATCATGCAGCTGCTGGTGTGCAGCCGTGGAGTGCAGCAGCCCAGCCTACTCTTACCGTATGTCTTAGTCTCAGGCAGACTCGCGAAGCCGACGTCGAATGACTGCGTCTGCGAACCTCGGACCAACGTTGATCAGCTGCACGGAGGTGTCCGACAAAACTCAGACACGCCGTAATTCAGCAGAAGCTATGCCGAAGCGCAATTAATAATTCGGAGCACTGCTAGGCATGAGTCCATGTATTTATCAGTATGTCCAAGCACCATGCCAGGGTTCGTCACCACAGATCTCCACGCCGTCGAGTTTGACTATGGCGACGCCCTGACCGTGAGAATAGATCCACCGAGTGGCCACATAGTTCGAGCACGCCGCCAGATGATCTTCGCGAGGCTAGCTTAGGCCCTCGCCACGTCTGAAGGTGGAGGTGGCGGTGCAGGTGGCTGCGGGGGAGGAGGTACGTAACCAGGCACCTTCCACCGACGGCAGAAGCACGACAAAGAACATGCCACTGCCCTAGCCTGCGCTCCAGCTACCGGAGCAGCAGGCGCTCCTCCTGCCACAGGTCCGTTCCGAAGTGGTCTGAAGTGGATATGGCAACGGCAGGGGCCTGGTTTGGCCAAAGGCTTTGCGGCTTGTTCAGCTTTCTGAGCCTCGAAGCAACGGGATGCCGGAGCTCGGAAGCCTTGACTTCGGTTTCGGCCTTGAGCCGTTCCAAGATTTTCTGCTTCACAGCGGGAAGCTTGGCTCGGCGAGCAGCCTCAGGCAGACCTGACCCAAGCAATGCTGCTCTGCGCACCGCTATACCGCAGGTATCCGCAGGTGCTCTGTGTCTGACTCAGGGCCGCGCTTGCAGGAAGGGCCTTTTCGGCCATCTCCTCCAAGCTATGCACGCATGCTAGGTTCGGACCATCAAATGCCAGAACACTGCTTCTTGCTTGAAGCAACGACATGAGCAACGCAAATCCCTGCACAAAGACAATGAATGCAAGAAAAACAGAGACAGAGAGAGAGAGAGAGAGAGAGAGAGAGAGAACGGTTGCTCGGCCTGGGCTTGCTTCTCCAAGTCATCGGCTCCCTGCACTGCGGAAGTCTCAAAGCAGTCCTCCTATTCTTTCGATGAGTTCAACTATAGATTTTTCCGGGCGGGTAGCCTGGAGGGCTTGCAGTGAACGACCTGACACCGAATCCGAATTCGTTAACCCACATTGACGCCGACTTGTGGGCCAGCATCGAATTGGGTCGTGAGGCTGAATTCTGAGGCCGAAGTAGGTGACGCCGCATTGTAACGCCGTTTGGGTTGCGGCACCGAGTTCGCGACGCCGCATTGTAGGTGCTGACGCCGACTTGGGTAGTGACGCCGGATTGCCAGCCGCTACTCCCGGGCCCCTGGACGTCAGGCCAGAGCCTACAGTAGGCCGTTACACAATGCCTGGGCACAGTTTGTGACAGGCTAGGGGCCCAGGGCGCACATGACTTTAAAATGAGTCAGAGCAGCCTTGCGTTCCGAGGATGGCAGCCATGACTGTAAAATCAGAACTTGCTATCAGCCTGAAACTCCGATCAATAGCCGACAGGCTTGAACTCCGAGGATGGGAGCTTTGGACTCTTCGGGTCCAAATGTCCCAACGTCACCAGTGCGTCTCCGGCTCCGAATGCATCTTCGCAGATCTTCGCAGTCTGTGCCTGCCAATGCGTCTTCACAAAGCGGCTTTGCTGCCCAAAGCGTCTGCGTACTCCAATGCGTCTTCGCCATGCGTCTGCGCCCGCCACTACCGCTGCACCTACTTATAGCCTTTGGTTGAACACTGCGTCTTCGCAGTGTGGATTTGTCTTCAGGTCGTTTACCGCCACCGCTGGGTGGCAAGATTCGACAGTCTGCTCACCCCACTTCAAATCCCACAATACAGGGGCACAGAGACAATCAACTAACTCAGTGTGGAAGTTTGATCTTAGCAGCTCTTGCGCAGTGGATCCAACATGTTCTTTGGTTGCGTGAAAAGTTTTCAACTGTGCTTACTTTCATGACATGTTCACGCCGTGTTCTCTGAACTCGCTTAAAGGCTTACAGAAAAACTCAGTTGCGGACTAGGCCCGGCGGCCTTCCGATTCGTTGCACTGCCTCCCTATGGCTGCCCATGCCCATATGCTGACAAGTTTTGAATGACGAACACACCTACTCGGATTGATTACCTGGTTGCTTCGGCAACGTGTGCAAACATGCCACGCTACAACGTCTCCCAGCTCAGACTCATTCCGGTTTCTTTACACCACAACCACAAGACAACTGCTGAACACATTAACAGTTCTGGCAGATTCCAAACAACCCCGCACGTATCTGCTCAGAATAAGCGAAGTCTATCGCCAATTCTGCCAAATCTGTCGTCTCATCATCAAGGATCATTTATGTGGAAAAGCGTGAAAGCAGACACAGCGTACGGAGATTTCTAGCGCGCCGCGATGACTCCGAGAGGTAAGGTACACAAGCGGTGCTGTCACAGAACGAAACCCAACAGCAGCACAAGCCGCTGACGGCACATCCCGCAACAGGAAATAAAAAAAAAAAACGGACTGTGTTGCACAAGCAGTTCGGGGAAGAACAGCAACAAGGCGCCCCAAACATCAGAGTTCATGCAACGGCAATTGCAATGGGTTGCGAAGAGCAAACTGCTGTCCGTCCTGATAGCCCTTTCGGACATCCGGTATTGTTAAACACTGCGCTATATGTCTGCAAACATGGCTTAAGCATATCCCTCCCGCACAAGGTGGTCGGGAGCGCAGCATGTGTATCAACGCTTGACATGCTCCACAAATCTTTCGAAGATACATCCATAAGCAGGGCCAGAACCGAAAACAGAACGCAAGACCGGTTCGATTGAAACTTAAGGGAGAAACAGCCAATCACGACATTGAAGAAGCACTAGTCCGACAGTGGCATCGACGACCATCAAAGGGATTTGAAGTAATTTCCTCTTGGCAAGTTTGACATGAGCTTTGCGCAGAGTTCAGCTAGTTGCTCAACCAGCCACTGCCAATTCCACCGCCCATGGCCACATTGACATGGATCTTCATCAAATTAGACAACAAGTGGACACTCCAGAATTTAAACAAGGCGTGACTATCAATCCCTATGACATAGTAGCAGTAGTGTCCTCTCTAGTTATAGTTGTAGTCATAGTTAGCTCTTCTGGAGGTTGAGTCCGATACTCACACGTACAACTTCGTTATCGTTTACGGCGTGTCGCCTATATCTTATGCAGATCAAACCTCAGTTTGTAACGTACTTATCTCACGTCTGCTGTAGTATAACTCTGCTCTTCCATAATATTAATGGTCGCTCGCGTGAAGGGGTGTGAACAAAACCCGCACACAAAAAGGAATCGCTGAAGAAAAACAGCCCCTGCAGCTACAGCCGAGAATGCGGCATCCGCCATGATGCACCGAGCCCAAATTGGGACACCTCGGGCAAGCGCGAGTTACCACGTCAGAACCCGGAAAGCCAGCAAGTTAGCACTCGCTGGAAGCCTCCACCAAGCTTTCACCAGCCTGTCAAAAGGCTGCGCCAGGCACTGCTAGCCCAAGCTCGCAGTTTCGTGGATCAGTCTGCATGATCAGCACTTTGCCGCTTCGCCTGCTGCGTCACCGGGCACTGGCATCATGCAGAGTCGCTTGTTTGTGCATGCTGAAAGTGTACGCAGGGTTGGCTGAGTCTGCTGATCATTTCAGGGGCTTGTTCTCTTTCCTTGCTCACCAAAGGACCAAACAGGTGAAACTTGACCAAACTGCTTTGAATAGAGGTCGCGAGAGCTCCGATTAAAAGCCGCTTGCATGCTAAAGCTGAAGTAAGTCTTTAACCTTGAACACCCATGCCAGCTATGTAGCGTGCAATGCAAACCGCACACCATTCAAGATTCGAAGGGCCCACTCAAATACAGTTCATCGATTGGTTCAACAGCGCCTTCACATGAATCTGTTACCACTCACCATACAAGCGGAAGGCAATCTAATGCTAACGCGCAGCAGGCTATGAATGTGCGAAGATACCGTTCCACATGTGATCCGAATACCAATGCTGGTTGCAGGAGGGTTTCTTGAAGCGAGGCAAAAAGCTGGAATCTGAAGTTCAACAAAGAGGTTTCATATCTAAGTCTGAAAGCGGAAGTGCAGTAAAGACACAAAACCCAAAGCATCCCAACCGTCCAGCGAGCGAGGCAAGAGTCTTAGTCCGAGACGATCACGAATGTCCAGATTTAGTTGCTACCATGCTCATGTCCTTAATCTGCCTCCCTAGAGTATGCGGAAGAAACGCCTAGAGACTAGACTCCATTCTCAAGAGAGCTGGTGGCAGTGGAAACCCTCTTTTTTTGTCGGACGTACTCGCGGGGCGAATCGAGGCTACTGCTCTAAGGAACGAGCACTATGGTTCTTCACCATGGTGCCTGTCAACCTGAAGGCGTAGCATGTGCTAGAAGTGCTTGAACCACACTGTAAGCCTCTGACTAAGTGACTAAGCGGCTGCCGCAACATCTGGTTTCAACATCTGTTTTGCCACGCCATGGCAGGTGGAAAAAACTTCACAGACATCGCCTCGATGCCCACTCGAGGGGATCCCCACGCGGGGAAGTCGGATCACAAGGAATGTCACGTTGCGGACAGGCTGTCGCTTGGCTGGGAGCCGTTGGCTCCCGCGCGCACCTTGTGAAAATCTTCCAAGCAGCTGGGCACAGTCAGCCAGTGATGACCTCAACTTGCGGCAATGGGCGCTTGTCAGCTCTTAAAGTTCTGACACAAAGACTTTTAAAGAGTCGCCGTTGCCACATGAAGATCACCGTCCGGCAGCTCGCCGCCCGGTGCTCTCATGCTTGAATCAAAAGCCACATGCCGGAGCAAAGGGCCCGCATGAGAAATCTGATTTCAGACTTTAATTGAACAATTCCTGCAGAATTGACCTCTATGCCAGCAGCAAGCTGGCTTGATTCGAAACTTTCGACTTTCAACTGGACAGTGTCCAGGCAGCAGATGTGGCACAGTAGTAGACTCTGAAACTCTCTCCCTGGCTGGTGTGCACTTGTTGGCTGTCAGTGTCTCTTACTGCCCAGCGGTGTGATGGAAAAAAGTGGGTGAGGCGGTGTTTGTCAAAACTTCTTGTAGCTTGACAATGTCCGCGGATTGCCCTCTCAAAACTATTTCCGACGCCCTTGAAAACCTGCGCACTCAGGTGAAGATGTACATGCCGTCGTTTCCTTCCGCCTGACACAGCTCGAATGTCTAGTGTCATCCGACTGCCTCCAAACTATTGGCACCTTCTGCACAGCAGTGCAGCGAGAGGACACGCGCCACAGCGCCTGGCAAAAGACTTCGCTTGCAGCGGTCACCAAGCGGAAACGGAGACGTGATGTCGCCTTGTGGATCGGAGTGGGGTCGTACAAGTACAGATCGGGGAACTTCTCCTGCAGAACGAAATCTTGAAGGGAAGAGGAGGCACACGCGGGCGAGGGAGCAGGGGCCAGCGATGGCCAGCGGGGCGCAGGGCTCCTTAAGAGCTTCCGTCGCCTTCCTCGCCTGAGCACAGACACTCGTCCGCCTGGTCCAGGCCTCCAAGCCCGGCCCCGGCGCCCCCGGCCTTGTAGAATGGGATGGCTGAGCAAACGTGGTGGGCCACATGCGTCGAGCCGATCCTGAACAAGGCAGCGATGGCGCGGCTTTCTGGATGTCTCGCCGTGCCTGTGGTGGACGTAGTCCAGCACCGGACCTTTCATCGCCAATCTGCCTTCCGACTCCCTGGTCCCTACCGCGCCAAGACCAGGAGCCCAACCGTAAGGCCGGTCGACAGTGTGAAAAGCACCCTTCACCCATGTCCAATTCTCCTGGCAGAGGCTCCGGGCGCGGCTGCATGCTTACGTGGCTCCAGGAACCTCAGATCTCATTTCACCTCCAGGTCGGGGGGCCATCAGGCTGGGGCTTCAGCTTGCTTGCACATGCTTTCGGAAGCAGCCCGGAGAGATCGGCATGTGCCTGCTGTTTTCGGGACTTGCACGAGGACAGCCATGGTGCAAAGATGACGTTTCCGGACATGCTTCCCTGGGGCCCCATCTGTTGCATCGGAGGGTCTGTAGACGTGGTCCAGTTGAGATTGGTGAACATTTAAGTAAGCCTCCGTGGAAGCCGATCCTCGTCGAAGTGGGGAATGTCAACATCGGTGTGCTGGAGCCAGGTGTAAAGCACCAGCCAGCAGTTAGTCACCTCGATGCCCCTTACCGTTCCAGCCGAAAGTCGTAAGATGTGGATTCTTTCGCTAAGCCAGTGGCCATCAACGGAGCAAGATAGAGAGCGAAGACCGGCATAAATCCACTGGTCTTTGCCTGCGGGGTTTCGATGCAATGCAACCTGCAGTGCCTCATAGGCAAAGGATGCTCTGAAGCGGTAATTAAGGCCCAAGCCCACCACATCAGGATTCCGGCCATTGCGACGATACCCACGTCCGATAGCAACACCTGCTTAAGATGCAAAGGACGGAATTCTCAGCTGCAACTCAGAATGCCTTCGACTTCCATGCTTTGGGGAACAGCTCCTTCCTCCCGTTGCGGAAGGGCGCGAAAGGCCTCGGAAGTCTGTGCCAATCGACTGCATCAACCTGCTTGTTCTACGCTGAGCAAAGCTGCCACATGTGGTTTGTGGTGCCATACGCTGGACCTCCGGTGGCACCACCGAGAATGTACCTCACTCGGACCGGAGTTTCGACAAGAGCAATGCCGCGTTACAGTCTGTTACAGTGTTGGGAATCCGACGCAGGCCAACCGAGCACGAGGTGTGTAATCATCCGGGTCGCTGCGACTGAACTCTGACCTGACAGACCCAACGCCTGCTTCGCACCATCTTCAGATGCTCACGACTCACGATTGCGCGGCTCCAAGACTCTAAGAGCTGAGCCAAACCACTTAGCCAGATTCTGGTACTTGTTGGTGGAACCCTTCTGCAACCTAAGTGCAGCAAATCTGACACGGGCTACGTGGACGTGCGCTGCTCCGACTCCCTGCTGCACTTGCCGAATTTGAGATTTGCATCAAGCAGCCTTGGGACGTGCGTCTCACCTTCCGTCATGTGGTTTGTCTTCGAGTGGTGGACGGCGTGAGATCGCTGCCAGGAGAAGTAAGGAACCTGGCGCCAGGAGCAGCGGAGCAAGGCAGAGCAGAGAGCAGAGAGTCCCCAAATCCCTCGCTGAGCATGCGCACCATCAAGGCCGAGTGCAACACCTGAGACAAGCAAAAAGCAAAAAGGCAAAACGCAGAGCTGCTCTCTGAGGTGCTCTCTACGCATTGCGGACTCGACATGCGGCTGAGGCCCTTCACGTATCCGACCAGAGTCTGCAACCACTGCTCGTTACAAAATGCGTTGTGGCCACACTCATGACCTGAAGAGTCTGCATGCTTACGCAGTGCTCATGCAGATTCATGCAGTCTTTGAATGATACCCTTGAGCCCTTGAGGCTGCTGCCGATGACCCAGGGTCCGGTGGCCAGCGTGCCCTGCACCACCGCGTAGAGCAGCCACATGGGGGCAAAGGCTGCGGTCCTCAGCAGAACTGTGGTGCCCTAGCACTGGCACAGACATGCAAGGGCCAAACATCGGGATGTACTTCCAAGCGAGATAGCCGCAAAACAGCACCTGCATCAAAGGACATGACTTGACAGCTCTCTTCGTGTCGGCTAAAAATCTGGAAATATGAAGAGGCTGGCCTGCAAAGTTGAAACCGCCGCATGTGCCAATGACCGTCCAGTCCTTAGGGGTCGCCATGCTACCCTGAGGTTTCCAGTCCTCTGAGGTCTGAGGCCCTTACTCTTTGACCATGCAATCCTTTGGGATGGCCCTCAGCACCTCCCCCTTGCTTGGCCACTGCCTCCAGCCAACTCGATGCCGCACTGCAAGACTATGTATGCACTTGACACGTGAGCTGTCACATGCTACTTGTATCACAGTAACTACAAATTGGGCAATGAATCCGTAAGCTTCGGACTTGTTCTGTCGCAGCGCCGTTCCCTGGAGCCCTCCCCGCTCAAGGGCTTTCCTTGCAGACCGAGACCGACTGGTCGATTTGCCATCTCCATCCGTTGATGTTCCTCTGACTCTACTTCTTCAGGTGACTTTGACTCTGACGCCCCCTGTCATGTCCATGACATGCCAAGGGCCCTTGCTCGACTCGCTCTTTCAATTCGCCGTTGTCCTCCACTTTCCAGCCTGTTTACCATGGTGCTCCATGGTGCACTCCAGGGAGACTATGGCCAGTGTGGCAGCTCTGCCTAGTCCTTCCGGGCTTAGTTCCAGGGTGTTCACCTGCTACGCCACTCCACTCACAACTCCGCAAGATCCGGCCCGTGCCCACTGCCCTGCACCTGAGAACCTTGACGTCGTCGCACACGCCTCAAGCCCTTCCTCGCCTCAGACTCTCGTTCGCCGAGGAGATCTCTGTGAATGTGCGTCTTGACACCCTGAGAATTGTTTTGCCGGGCACCCTGCCAACAGAGCTGCAGCGGAAAGGCCAAGAAGCAGTCGGCCTGGCGCTTTGATTCTGACAGATGCACGTGTGGAATCATTTGGGTCGAATATCTCACGTGGAATGGGAACTGGGTGTCAGGGTCTGCATTTCCCAGGGTAGGAACGGCGTTCTGGGGTTGAGTTGGTCGCCTTCGTTTCCTCTCCCGATTGCCAACAGAGCAGCACAGCCTCTGAAGGAAGGCTCTGGCTGACTCGGAGGTGTCTGGCCTTTCAGAGAAAGGATGCACCGTTCAAGAGAGTCAGATGAGAGAAGCACACTTACGTGATCTTAAGTGACTCATGCGCTTGTCGCCTGGCCTGAAAAGGACTGGCTGGGCACCTTGGGCCGCTCCAGGCGAGTTGCTGGTCTCAAGCCTCGAAGAAACGGCAGGCAAGCTCGCGAAAAGACGGAAGCATCGTGATCGGGGCTCCCAATGCCATGTGCACTGGAGTTGTGGTGATCGTGGCATGGAGAAGTGTTCTGGCGTAAGCCTGCGGCTCGATGCAGTGCCTTGGTGCCTCGAGCAGACTCGAGAACCGGACATGTTGATCACGGCTACAGTATGTGCAGCGTGATGGCTACAATAGCCCGGAAGCTACGCGGTATTATCACTTTCTGAGCTGAGTTGGGAACTGTTGCACAGCCCCTGTCACGAAGGCCAGATCCATCCTTGCTGCAGCAGTGGCTCGAAAGCCATCACCGGAGCTAAGACACGCACCATGCTGTCCAAGCATTCGGCCTGACACCCTTGGACAGAGCTGTCACAGAAAATGCGGCACCAGCGGGGCTTTGCCGAATGCCCTTGAGTTGTAAATACTTCGGACCGGACACGAGTGGGATTGGCTTTGAGCAACTCAACGGCCTGTGCCTCAGGCCTTGTGTGCCTGCATTGACCTTCAGTCCATTGCGCAGCCGTGCAATGCCCGCTCTGGCAACTCTTTGGTGCTTCTCGGGACGGGATGGCGGAATCGCCGTCAACACCACCAGTTCACTGAGCAGCCATGTCTTCAGGTCGCAAGTAGCACTCCTGACATGTCTGACTTTGCGTGCTTGCTGAGGTCGCTGCTCAGCTGGTGTGGCTCAATTTCTGTGAACCGGAGTAGGATCGGTGATACAACGACTGTCTGAAAAAACACGAGGAAGTCACGACATCACGTCGAAAGTTCTGCTCAGTTTGGAACAGAACGCACGATCTCCAGCCAGTTCCCGTTCGTTTCGGGAACACGCTGTGAGGCGATGTCGGGTCGTTAGCGGTGCTCTCGCCGTGCTCCTTGGTCTTTGGGAGCATCGACGAGTCAGAGAGTCAGATGAGTAAAGCGACCGAGGCGGCCCCAGATCTCCTGACAAAAAAACCTAGATGCAACAGCGAAGACCACGTCTCACTGGCTCACACCTACACAGTTGTCGGGTGTCCTGTCTGTCATATTCGGCAGCTCTATCCATGTGCCAAGCGCGGGATCAAAGCGCTCTGCCGTCTCAAGGCACTGCGAGCAGGGCAACGGAAGCAAACGCTTTTCGTTAGTTTTGGCCACATTGCAGGCTGACATCATGAGTTGCCAATGCTTGCAAGATCAACCTGGCTCCTCTCCCCCTGTCTTGCTTTCGGAGAGTATGAGTGGAGGGCCCCGCCCTCCCCCTCCAGCCCGGTGTGGGGCCCCACTGATTTCAGTGAGCTCTGAGAACGGCTCAGCGCAGTCCACATGCGGCAACAGTTTGCGTGCTAGAGCTGCTAGGCCTTTGGGTTTGGGGGTGCAAGACGCCTTCCCCCCTGCGCACCCCACCGTTGTCTGGGTCCAAGTCTGGGCGTGAAACACGCAAGGCACATCGCTACCAGTTTCTCGATCTTCTTCAGTCTCTCTCTCTCTCTCTCTCCCGGGCATAGGGGTCGGTCAAGACCCCCGGGCATGATACCCGCAAGTGTTTTGCAGGTATTGGGGTGTGAGAAACTCTCTCTCTCTCTCTCTCTCTCTCTCTCTCTCTCTCGCTCTCTCGCTGCACCTGCCCACCGTCGCTGCCACCAAAAACATGTATTCGACCAGCAATACCAGCGGCCGCGACATAGGCGCGACCTGGTGTGCCATCCACCCATTACGAAGCATCAACAGCCTGGCACAACGGCTGTAGGCTGTAGACAACTCCGGGGTACTCAGCCAAGAACGTTTCAACATCGGCGCCAGTGTTTCCCAGGTGCCAACCTGCCGGTAGCATCACAGTCACAAAGCCTTAGGGCAATTTTTCGCGACGATGCTCCTTGGGATCGTAGCGCTCCACCGAGTTGAGCATCTGGGCCTTGGGGGCAGCACAGTTCTGTGGACTGGCCGCCACTCCCGCAAGCGAAGTCTCCCGCGCCAAATGCTCCTCCACACACGTAGAGCCTCTTCAACAACATCTCAGACGGTTGTACCATTCGACTTCACATCGTTGGGAATGCTTGCCTGCCACCACAGGCTGCAGCTGATGCGCCTGGTTGGCAAGTGACGTGGTTGAAACCAAGCATGTAGGGTGATCAAGGAATTTTCAACATGCCAGAACTAGCATTACGTCGACCACAGGAAAAGTTAGATTGGTCGCCATCCATGTTCGTTGCATTGTCATGAGTGCATGCTTTGCAGTAAGCCGATTTAGCGGCTTGCTGGAGATTCGGAGGATACCGTTGAAAGTCATCGGTGTTGCGTAAGCTTGCCTGATGCACAACAGCTTGAGGACAACGTCTGCAAGTGGCTGAGAGTTTGACTCGTCGAACAGCAGCGTCTCTGTTTGGGGTGATCCAGTTTCACCAGGAGTTGATTATACATCTCCGTTTGACTGACAAAAACAAGCAAAACTATAAAGCATGCAATTTCATAGGCTCCCAGCCTGTGTCTGCAAACAGGGCTGGGGTTTCGGTTGCTGGTACGGTTCGCGAGAAAGTTGTAGTAGTTGGCAGTCTCGTTTGCAGTTTGTTGTCTCGTTTGCAGTTTGTTGTCTTGCATTCGCTGGCTATCTGAGTCAACTCAATAACCTGACGCTGGAGAGCCGTCGCAGAGAGAATTCGAGGCGCAAAATCCACATGCCGTCCAAGCGGTGCAGCACATCAGAATGTGCCAACGGAGGGAGGAAGAGTCGAGCAATGTTCAGACAAGAATTGCTGAAACCTCTCAGCACTCCGAGTGCCTGCTCGCTGACTGGACAGCGGTGGAAGCCTAGTCATGCGAATTGAATGACGATCGTGCATGCGATGCAAGATCCAGAGCGTCTTGCGGAAGCCAAATGCTCGGTGGATGATTCAGTCTCTCCACGCCTCACGTCAGACACGGACTGGCAGCCTCTGGCAACAACTGGCATGATTTCAGAGGGCTTTAGGGTCTGAAGCTCCGGCTGCTCAGCGGCTCCCTCTGTTCATCTCGGCCACCGCAGACATAGAGTAGTCCTGTGCTGCTTTCAACGCCTGCCCAAGCCTTCAGAGCTGAGTCTTTGCCCTTCCGCCTTGCAGCGACACAGCTGCAGGCCACCCACGTCTCTCTGCCATTGAAGAGACTGCCTGCAGAAGGACGACCTAGACCATCTAGACTTGGATGAGTCCTGAGTCCTAGACCCTTGCACTGCTGCCCCCCACCCCGGTGCCTGCCAGCTGCCGGTTGGCGTCTGTGGCGCCTGTAGGCCAGGAAATGCAGACTAGTCGCACTGCGGTCCCGGTAACGGGCTCGCGCCCGTGGAGTGACGTGCAGAAGCTGCATCGGAACTCCTTTGTGCGATGTCTTCGAGGTGGACCGTCTAAGCCGCTGAACGAAAATCTTGATCCTACAGTGGTGCTGTGCACGCATGACCTGGCGGAGTGAAGCACTCGACCGAGTTCAAAGGCTGCCTCGCAAGGTGGGGTTTGTGCAATTTGTTGAACACCACTGAGCATGCACCAATCCTACAAGACTGTATGATACCACTGTGCCTGTTCTCGTCCAGGCCACCGCATATGAAGAGTCGTTTGTTGATCACACCTGCTCGCCAAGTGAAGGTCAAGCGCAAGCCAGCGCGCAATCCGATTAGCAGAAAAGGAGACCCGTGATTCTTGTTTCCACTCCGCTTCTTCAGGTCTTCCCTCCGCCAGAATCAACGAAGGGGTTGTCAGAGAGGAGAGTGGGTGCAGACGCCATGGTGTACATTCGCTGCAAAAGATCGTCAACTTGGCTCCTCCGGCTTCGCTCTTGGATGTGGCGAAGTGCTCGCGATCTCTCCAGCTTGCTCACAATTTCGTTCACTTTGGCCACCAGTACCCTGTCGCGCAGCATGCGCTCGGATAAGGTCTGCTGGAGCTGGTCTTCAGCTCTAGCTCGCCTGTCCGCGCAGTCGTGCGCATGTCTGATCAGCTTAGATGCCTCGGCACTTTTGGCTTCCACGGCTGATTTTCTGCCGATGTTGTGCACAGAGGCATCATGCAAGTATGCCTCCAAGCGCGCGAGGTCCTGTCTGCACGTCATCTCTTGCAAAGAAGCCGTTTGTGCGAGCTCTTCAGCTTGCTTGGAACATCGCATCCGGCCTTTGCTTTGTTGCACTGAGAAAGAACGCGACTGCACTGCTTTTAGAAGGCTGAATACCTCTGAAGCTGATAAAGCAAAACAGAACTACTGAATCTGGAGATGCTACTGGCTTGCACCTCCATAGACGTACTCCTCAGCTGATACAGAGAGGTGCGAATCGAAGCCAGCTCTTTTTGCAAGGACTGCTGCTCCTCCAGAGTTCTTGAGACTGCCATGGCGGCCGCTTGGGACCTCAGCTGCTGGTCTGCGGCCGTCTGCTGAGCCATCTCAAAGGACTTCTTGAGAAGCTCCCGCTCGGCAACCAAGTTGGCCTCGGCGCCGCGTCTGAATGAAAAATAGCAAAAGGGCTTTTTTTGCCAAAAAACCGACAAGCGATGAAGGACGGAGGACCTGCGCATCCAAAATGGCATACGCTCGCGACTGGGACTGTTGAATCTGTTCCTGGTGGCACGCCATGGGGTGCGAAAGGCGACGGTCTCTATGGTCGCGCACCAGAGCTAATCATGAATGGATTCCTGAAGTTTGCTGAACTCTCCCTTTGTCTGGTGCCGCTATATGAGCCAGCAACGGTAATCCAGCAGCAAAGGCAATTTGAGTGGACGGTTGTTTCCCTTCCAGTTTTTGCGGCCTGCTCCAGCTCCCCACCTGGCCAGGGTTGACACGAGTCCTTCGGACTAACAGTACTGGCTACCACTGCTTACCCCTGCTGTTTTCTGTTTGGAGAAACTGAGAGCCAACAACAGCTCCAAGTCAAAAGCTCTGGCAAACGATGCAACAAATCCGCTGCTGCAGACAGGGGCGCGAGTTGGTGAGCGACTTAGGAATCTGGAACTCATCATGCCAACGAGACGACGGATGCAGATCTAAAGCTGCTCTCCGCTTTGGCCATCGGCTCTCTGTCTGAAGTGCTTGAAGACACGAACTCAAGTTCGAAAGCGTGAGATCGGCAGAGAGAACCTGGCTACTAGCATTGGTGGCATAGGCGACCACCTGTCACGGTGTCTTCTATGCGGCATCAATCCGAGCAGATCAAGGTAAGAGGGAATGAGACCCATCTGCCTCGAGTAATCTGGGTCAAAGCACTCCACACTTCGGACAGGTTGGGGTCCAGCCCAACCTACAGCAGTGTGCCCTCTGGTTTGTTGGTCAGCTTCTGGCTACAAAGTACAGATACCCCATCATGGCATCTCTTTGCCATAAGGCCCGTGCCGCCACAGACGTAAATCTTGCCGGCCATTACTCCTCCGCGGCATGCTGAGACAATCAAAGCTGACCGGCTTGAGAGATGCCGCGTTATGCTCCTGCACAGGTGTACTGCCGAGCCTCTGTCATGGGCGGGAGCACCTGCTAAAAAGGGTGCAGCGTCGCCCAGCAAGGCTTGCCCCAGCTCCAAGCCTCCCAAACGCCAGCCTCAGGAGACATGCTGTGTCTTGGAACCCACAAACGGCACCTAGCAGGTCCTAGAAGCACACCTAACACGGGCTTGCAGTCTGGAAGGCGACAGCCCTGACCTAACCCCACACTCGCTGGTATTTGCAAGTGTGGCTTTCTTCACTTTTCCTATCTGGTGGGGTGGGGGGGGGGGGTGAAAAGTAGGAGAAAGGAGGATTCCTGGTCAAGGCTTGGGTTTTCACGGGTGGTAGTTTCGTTCTATGTTTTCTTCTCACCTCACCTGTGTTTCTACCGATGTGTCTGCCTTCTTCGTTTTCAGTTTCCACCAACCCTGAACCCAATAATTTCTCAATTGTTGTTCCTTGTCCACTTTCTCTTACCGTTGTTCCCTGTTCGATTTTTCTTGGTTATGGACCTTATTCAGTTTTACTTAGCCCCAGTCCTGCGATTTTCTTAATTTCTGGATTTCTGTCTTGAAGTGTCTTATCTGACTTTTTGTCATTTTTCGTCGGGTAATACGCCATTAACCAAGGTTTACCTCAAAGTCGTATTTTTTTGCACGACTCATCCGATGGTTTCGGTTGATGGTGCTTGTGATGGCTTTCAACAATATTATTTATATAATGAAAGAATTATGGTTGCTTGTTCGGTTTAAATCAAAGAATACTAAACTTTAGCCATTTTTTAGATCATGAAAGACGTGTCGTTTGTTTAGATATGTAAGCAATATTCTTAACTAATGAACAAACAATATTTTAATTCAATATCATGCTAGTTATCACAATATCTGACGCTGTATGCTTCTATTCAATTTTTCCAACTCTTTGAACTCATACTCATTGAAGTAATGGTTGTACACATCTTCAAATTTGTCATGTATTTCTTTATCACACAACTCACTGAATTTAGCATAAAAATCATGTGGATACAATTGAACTTCATGTTTATAGGCATCACAACAAATGGTTACAATACACAGATTAGTACTATACCATTTAATAACAATTCATAAAATATTACTCTATGTTTAGGATAACCATTGTTTACAACTAAGCCATATACTCTAAATAGTCCATTCTATCAACACAATTAGAGCATTAGAACAGCCAACACATAAAAAACTACTCTCATTTACACCACCAGAAAACAAATTTTTCCAAGTTGGTAATGTATTAATTTACAGCTCTTGCAATTCTTTATATACTCAATTTCTTTCTTTATACTATAATCGACTGTTGCACCAGTTGCGGCATCACTTTCAATATCACTCATAATCTCACTTAATGTATTAAGGCGTTTTGCAGTAGTTTTCCTATCAACAATTAATACTATGTATTGTATAATATTATGGTTGCTTATTAAGCATTTACAAATTCCATTATTTACAGGTGTTTCTTTGTATTGATGCTACTTTGGAATACTTCACATAAATCGTTTGTTAACGCATCAAATTTTGCCGTATCTTTTATAAGACCTACTTGTGACGAAAGATACATACATAAAGCTGAAATCATAATGTTGTGTATCGGGTCTATATATTGGTTTCTACAATTATGATCTCTATCATCATAAACTACACCAGGGTAACTAACGTCATAGTTTAGTCACTAAAAGGCTTTGTATTTTTCAACCATTTGAATATGTTGTGCTTCGTTTAAGAACTTCTTGTGAAAAGGTCTTGGCACACACAAATTTGTTTTATCTACAATGTCTCTCATATACGTCTTCTTATCCTTTAAATTTGTTAGCTTCTTATATCCATTGTCGAAATGGTTTAACATACAATGCGTTTGTTTACGCTCTATAGTTCTATTGTCAATTTTCGATTATTTTTCATACTTATACATGTTAAGACAATGGTAACCGGTTGGAAAAGACAAATGATATGACTATTTAATTCATCAAACATTTCGTTTAATATTACCTCTCTTCTACTCTTGTAGCTGATACAATAGTTACGCTTGAAGTTAAAGTTAAATGCTTCCATGCTCTAATAGATTAGAGCATTTTCCCTTTAAAGAGCTTTGCCAAATTCCTGAGGCTGACTAATCTTGTCATAACAACTCGTGTCTATTATATCGTTTGCTCGTTCCCTCTACAATCTAAAGCTTGTTTAGGTTCATACCTCTACCAACTTCGTTAACTTGATAGGAATTGTCACTCCTTCGGTGTCTGCTTGCTTTTCTTGGGGCACAACCATTTTTACCTTTAGTGAATATTTTGACTTGATCACCTTGTTCAGCCGAATTTTGATCTTTGTGTGTCTCGTTTGGATCTAAACCTGTCGTTGAATGAACCACGGTTTTATTGTACTACAGGTTTCAGTAATATTGTCCAAGCCCCTTCAGTATGTAAGGCTCTATCAGTTCTCATATTCCTTATTGTTCTAATAACTCTTTCGGCAACACTAGCGTGTGTTAAAATCACACAAACCAACTCAAACCCCTGCTGTTTACGGCATGTTAGCTTGCTTATACAACATGTTGCAGGAGGATGTTTGATGTTCAGCAACACGAGACGCGGTCACAAGTGTTCATGACATTTGCGAACATGCCCAAAACCCTGCTATGTACGGCATTTTGCTATTTTCAACAACATGTTGCAGGAGGATGTTTGATGTTCAGCAACTCGAAGCGCTGTCACAAGTGTTCATGCCGTTCTGCGGTTGCATCCCATCGCGGATGTCGCGGATCACTTGGCGAAAGTGTGCTAAAGTGAGTGCCCGAAGTTTGAGTCCCTGGATTTCCTGAAGCAGGAAACCCTCCATTCCACAGCCGCACGCACGAAGTCATGTAATTTACAGCATTTGCCGTGTATGCCCAAAAAAATACATGACATGCCCACCGCCACACGGCCAGATATCAAAGTGCGACCCCCTAACCCCACCGGTGCGCCGGAGTCGCGTGCTATACAACTCCACGCTACGATGCACTTCCGACAAGTCGCATCCAAAATGTTACCCAACCGCATCCAGCACGGCCCTTCTCACAAAAGCGGCACTCGGCCAGTAGGCAAGACACTGCAAAACCCGGTCAGCACCCGACATGCGGATCCAGTCTCTCCACGGAGCTCAAAGCCAGAGCTCCTGCAGGCACTTTCGCGGCATGTGTTGAAATGCAAAACAACGAGAACGAGGAGTCACTTCACTTCGCGAAGTGCCTTCGAAGCCACCGCACAGGTACAGGTGACCTGCCACGAAATCACTGTGCTTTGCAACGCGGGGCCATTGGGTATCCCCAAGTCGCCTGGGCAAAGAGGGTCCAGGATATCCGCAGCTGCTGATCGTGCAGCTTGACACACCTGCGGCGGCGAGGCAAGAGTGTGTCTCGGGTCGCTTGAGGCATTCCACCAAAGGTCTGCGAGTCTACGGGGTTCGGACTCAGATCACCTGAGGCTTGTAAAGCCACTTGGCACAGAGCACAGGACAGCAGGCGGATCGGTTTAACTGGCACCTCGCGCAGAGCACGCATCGCGGAGTACCCGGCAAAGCTGCCGATGGCATAGGCAACTGCCTCCAGGTTCGAAGTATACTAACAAAAAGCTGCAGCCTTCTGCCGCCAAGTGATGCTCACGGCTACAATCGACATGTTGTCACGCCCGGATGTCGATCACAGCATCCAGCGGCGCCTCTTGAGATTCTGAAGAGAAAATCACGGGGCCACAGTCTCTCTCCTCTCTCCCAAACACTCGGAAGAGCGGGCTTTTGAGGCATGGACGCAAGGGCCAAGGCCATAGACCGCACCTGAGTAAACAACTTTATGTCAGTTCAATTCCAAGCATCGTACTGAGGCTCTCTGCAGGCGTAATCCGGCATGAGGCCCTCCAACCAAAAAACAAGAGGTTAACACCCACACCATACGATTTCCACAACTTCCTGACAAAACTCGTAACTTACATCCAGCAAAACTAGCGCTGGTTCCCTGCTGGGACCATATTAAACACGATCAGTTTCAATCCGAAATAGGGTTCTATTTGAACAAAAAATGTAAAATTGTATCCAACAAGGACCCAGAGCTCGGACTTCTATCCAAGAAGATGGGAGCAAATGTCCACAATTGGTTTCTCACGTCGCTCCCTTTTGAATTATATCGGAATCACAAACGAACTCTCCGTAGTCCGACCGGCAGCCGTGCGGAAGCGACGGAGACGTCCGAGTCACCGGCATGCTTGGTCGAAGCGGCGCCGGTGCAGATGCACCAGAAATCGCACACTGTCCACTGTCTCGGGCGAGGCGAGGCACTCTTGCAAGAATTGAAGAAATTCCAGCAGTGTGTGGGCAAGATCTGAGTGCTTGTCGCCATTGCTGGAGAGACAGTCACGAAGGGCACCAACCTGGCAACAGTTCTGCTTGCGATCGCTTGCGCTGACTGACTGGCAACAGGGCGCCTCTTCCCTACAGCTGTCAACCTCTCTGCGCAAGTGCGCAATGAGGCCCTGACGGCGGCTATGCCGATGCATGATAATACTGCCGTGAGCCTCCGGGCCTGTTGATGGGCCAGCTCTTGGCTCAGAAGATGCAGACTTTGGTCCTGCACACGGATAGCATGAGAGCCAAGTTCAGGTGTAGAGCGGAGGAAGATTCCCAACGCAGCGTCTTCGGTCCATGCCGGGCCGCTGTAACTGCTTTCAGCAATAAACAATGAGATTCAAGGCTCTGTTCAATATCCTCCACACTTCGCAAAGGCGCTCTGCACCCCCAATCTGATAGAATCCTAGAAGCTAACCAGCAAGCCGCAGAAGTGATGCCTCCTCTTGCTTCTGAGTGCTCTGAGTGTCATCACAGGCTGGCAGGCTCAGCTTACTTGCGTGTGGTTGGACTGCAGTGGTAAGCCACGCGGCACCACAACACACACGCCATATCACATATCACCATAGTCATAGTTGATATTTGCCTTCGCCTTCGCGCATCACTGCCCCGCCCCCCCTTGACTCGCTTTGGGAAGTCCCAAAAACAGTTCAAAGTGCACAGGACCCAGAAGGTTCGGCTCAGAAGTTTTGCACGCGAGCAAACCTCAACAGCACTAGGCACCTCGAAGCGAAAAACTCCGCTGGCCTCGGCCTCTCCGAGCTCCATGGCTCCCACGGGAGACAACGGAAAGCTACAAAGTTCGCCCAGGCCCTCACTGGCTGAGACTTTTTTCTGAGGTTCTTGACCAGCGAGGCCGCTAGGCTCAAAGCTCAGGTGCCGTTTGGGATTCTTATGTCTGCTGGCTTTGTAAAGGCATTCACATGCTTATGATGTCATGGGGACGTGCAGCTATGGGGCGCAGGCTCATTGTGATTGAAGCACTTGAAGCACCCACAGTAAAGTCCGATCTTGAGAACTTAGCCGTGCGTGTCCCACTGTATCTGAGCCTCCGGATTAAGCAGCAACTGCGCGCGTGGACTCTCATATCTGTCACGGCAAATTTGGAATCACCGGGGCTCCAGATTCGGAGTCATGTCGGGCATCGTAGTGTAGGGAATTGCCAACATGCACACGTGTTGAGGCGGCAGAGATGGTGTCTTTGCCTGTCTTGGATGATGAACAGCATGCAAAACAGGACAAGCTGGAGTGTCGGGCGTTCGTGCAGGTTCTTGCCATGCGCCAGCTGCAGAATCGGATAACACAGGAGTCGCTGAGGCTGAGAAGTGTCAAAGGTAAGAAACGGAAACCACAAGACCACAAAGCATCTTCTGCAGCAGACTGTACAAGAGCGCCTGTCCAACTCTGAAGACAAGCTGAGGCTGAACTTTGAAGTGGTTCAACTTCAACTTTGGGACGCAAACAGCTCGGCACTCCAGTCAAGTCTAAGCTTAGGCTTCATGCTTCGCATTTGCTGAGCTGTCCGCCTCCAGCTCAGTTGCATTTACTAGGCCGGTCCCATTGGTCACGGCCGCAGGTCCGCCGGTTCCCGGCAGACCTGAGAGCTACTTGCGAATCGCTGGAAATCGCTGAGAGCACAATACGCCCTCTTAGCTCGAGCGGTGCTCCGCTCCAACGTTAGCGTCGTGAATTAGGAGCTTGTTGAAGTTTTACCCAAAGATTGGCTTACCCCCCCTCCCTTCTGCCATCAGGCCGGATGGATTTGACGAAAGGCCTTTCAGTCCCAGCCAGGGCTGGCTGAACGCGGCCGTTTCGTCTCCTTCGACATGCAGCACATGCCCACAGCGGCTTTGCAGGACGTGCATTCAGAAGCTGCGAGCCTGGTTTGAGCTTCCTCTGGCGCGGCCACGGGGAAGCAGACTCCCTCCGTGCAGGCCTCAGCACGCACAGAACTGCATCCTGAGTCTCGATGGTCTGAGGTATTCTGAGGTTCTAGCTGAATCTGCTTAGATGTGCAAGAGACAATCCTCGACTCCAATGCATGTCCAGCACGTCACGAGAAAGGCTTGGAAATTCAGCGTACCTTCATCCTCGGCAGTCTCTTTGCGAGCATGCCGAACCTCAGGGTGCAAGCTTATCTTTGGCACATCAACCGTACCGCTAGGGTCGCTAGCGTCGCACGAAGGCTTTGATGGAGGCAATCTTCAGCTCGAGCTGCCTGCCAAAGCATGTGGGGTGGTTCTCTGAAAGCTTTCTGCAATGGCCTGGCAACTTCCTAGCGCCATGGTACAGTTGTAGGCAGCGCCTGTTCCGCCGCATCAGGTCTGCATAGTACACCTTTGCCTTGGAAGCAGCAGGTAATCGAAGCTCGTGGGAAGTCGTGAAGGGCTTTGGGATCTTCGTCTGCGATGCCAGGCCACCCTTGTCTCGTGCGACTCCACAGCCTCCTCGTCGGCAGCCGCGTTTTTTTCCACTTCCATCCTGGACTCGGTGGTCGCCACCTTTGCTTAGGCGTCGCCGTCGCTTCATTTTCCAGTTTTGGTTGAAGTCTCTTAACCGGGCAGCCAGCCTCAGCATGATCCTCCAAGATTTCCACCTCGCGACTGCAAAAGTGCTACGAATAGTCCCTGCTCGTCATCACACCCTCAAAGACGTTTGAGAGACGAATGGTGCCAACCCAGCCCCTCTTCCCGGTGCTCCTCACGGAGCTTCTCGGAGACGGATCGGAAGCAGTCCTGGCACCTCCGGTGGAGAAGATACTGTGAAAAAGAGCTGCCAAGAACCTCAAAGGCCTGATGCAATTGGTGGCGAGGCTCTCAACCTCGCAGCCACGTGATCCGGCCCTCGGGCCACTGCAACGTTCTGATGCACGCTAGCACCGCTAGCAAGCACCGCTAGCACACCGAGAACTGGCCTCAAGCACCAGACGACGCATCATGCTCTTGGAGACTGCCACATCCAAGCCTTGCAACGGCCGCCTGAATCAATGTGATTGCGTGACAGTCTGTAACATGTTTAAAAGGGTTTTGTTGGTTATGTTGCGTCGCGTTGGGCTGCATTGAAGTAGATTGGGTCTCAAGAGTTCTGCTGGGTCTGGTCGCGTAGGGTCAGGTTAGGTCAGGCAGGGCCACCTGAGGGTACGCTAACATCAGGTGAGCTAGGAGCAGGGTGGGCAGCTTGAGCCCTAAGCGCGAGTACACAATAAACACTGAATACGACCTGGACTTGGCCTGGCGAAGCCTAGACTTCAAAGGTGATGTCGAGCTAAATTCTACAAGGAATTGTTGGGTGATCGATCAGGTCGGCTACAGTAGTAGCAGACGAGCGAACGACCCGTCCTGCTACAGTTATGGGGTGAGCAGGTTAACTGGATTCCGCAAGGTCTGCGTAGGTGTTGCCAGGCTCGATCAGGTCAAGTCAAGTCAGTTAGTGCTCTGCTATGATGTGCTACATTATGCTGGGTCAGGTCAACGATACGTATCTGTCAGATTTCAGATGAAAAGGTTGAGGCTATGTTGCCTTCTTTGTGCCTGCTTGCCTGACACGAGCATGCAGAAGCATGACAGTTACATTGATTTGGAGTAACGTGAACCACCGCAGACCCGAAGCAGAGGAAACCGTGTGGGTCACCGTTGAGAACCCCAAGCTTAGTGAACACCTTGACATTACACAAGTCAGATGGCTTCTGCAAGACGGGTTTTTAGGGCCCAGCTTCATGCGCAGGATCGCCTCAATGAAGTGGAATGCCTGGTGACGAACCAAAGGCCGTGATCATGGGGCGCCCAGCACGAAGAAACAGCGGATGGTGCGAAAACTGCAAAAGGCGGGACTGGCGTCACAGGACAGCTCACCTTCGTTTATCGTACTGTACAGGGTGCCATTCACGCCTTCACCCTCTCAGTCTTCGTCAAATTCAGCCTCAGAGGCACGCATCGCTAGCAGCAAGGCAATGCCGCAATGCTTTGGGTAGGGCTGAGCTGAGACACGCACTTCTGATACACCATGAGGGCTTGATCTGGACGCATGCCAATGAGCTCCAAACTGCGCAGAATGATGCCAATGCATACGGGGAATTGATCTACCAATGCAAGCTTGATCACGAAGCCTCTTTGCAAATCGCTTGTCCTGATTTCTATGACGCTGTCTGTCTTAGGTCACACGCTGTGAAGTTGGCGGCATGCCGCCCAAGTGCCAAGTGCTGTGTTTGCAGCTTGCCGTCCTGCAGGAGATAATTGAGCTCTCGCATGGTGACGAGTGTCTGGTCGACGGGCATCAGGTCCTCACTGCGACAAACGGCGCATTGCGACCAACCATCAGAGCTCTTGCACCCTGGCCTCTAGCTCCCCTGCTGCGAGCATTCCGGCACCAGGTACTGTTGCAGCCCTGGCCTCGTTGTGCTCTGCTCTGGTCTTCTCTCGCAAAAAGAATCTCTGGAGGGTGAGCCTTCACAACCGTGAAATTGCCACCGTACCTGAGCCGAATTGCATCCTCTTTCGTTCCTGCAGAAGCTAACTGGCAGCTAACTTGGCAACCGACCGAAAAGCGAAGACCTGGAGCAGAAGCGATGTGCCAAGCGTATTGCAAAGTCTGCAGGGTTTCTGTGGCCTTGGACAGTGACACCGGCCGGAAGACGATTGTTTGAGAAGATGTCCTCACGCAAAACTTGTCGAGACATGACATGCTGTCACGAAATGTCGCGGCCACAGATCCGTGCAAATTCCGGAGGCACTGCTCTTTTGCAAAGTGGTCCGGAAGGTGTGGAAGGCCTGCCTTTGGCCCGGTCCTGACACGTTGCTGCTGACCAGCTTCCTCATCTCCCTCTGGCTGATGCTGAATGTGATCAGTCTGTTGGAGAACCTCAGCAGTGGGAAGTGGCTACACTGCCTGGACTGGACTGGCCATGCCTCTGGCTTCACTGCCTTCGGTGGACACATCTCAGAAGCGAGCGAGGCATGGTTCAGCTTTGCCTGGAGCTTCGCAAGCATCAGCACATGAAGCAGGCCAAGGCTTAAGCACGGAAGTGTACAAAAGCGTGACGGAACTGCCGCCCTCCCAGGTGAGCAAACTCTTCCTGAAGACAGCACAGGCTCACAACTTAGGCCAAACAGATGCTCCACACAAGACATGCCAGGCAAACATCGGATCGCTGTCTGCATCTGGAGACAACTTCGGGTTCTGCAGGGCTGAGACCGTTCAGGAGCTGTCAACTGCTGTCAGGTGTGTCTTCTCCACAGGTAAATCTGCGAAAATGGATGTTGCAAGGACAACTCTGTGCCAACAATCTGCAACAGGAAGTGTTCTTTCATGGAAAGCTCACTCAGCTCGCTCAGCCTACTTACGTATGTTTCAGCAACCCGGGTCCAGTGTCAGAAGTACATCCACACCAACCTCTTCTTCGGAAACCTTGGCTGAAACATCACCTGATTTCCTTTCAGTACTTTCGGACATGGTAAGCTCAGCGAACGGCCCAGAGGCATCGAGTAACCTGCAATCATCTGGGACGAAAAACATGAACCCAATTGACACAGCAAGTCTTGTCTGCGCAAGACGGCCAAAGACATTGCTCAAGTGTTCGTCGGAAGTTGCCATCAAAGAAACTAGGTCCACCGCTAAAACCTGCCGCTGCCGGAACTTGTCAGCTTGTAGGTCGCCGTTGAGTTTTAGAGCTTGCTGGCAGCCTGCGCGCTAGCTAAGCAGGTGTCGTGCCTCCGCATAGTTGTCGTCATCAAAAGCGGACACCAGGAATTGCTCCTGAATAATTTCGGTGACCTCTTTTGAATTTATTGACATGAAACAGGCAGCACAGTACACTGAGCGACTGGCTTCAGGTGGAGGTGTAGGCTGCGCTCCTCCTACTTGGCAGAACTTCTCGAAACTCAAAAGCAGAAGCAGCTCGTGTCGTCCTGGACGTGCCGGCGCTTCAGGAACTGGGACCGGTGCCCTGCGGCCGACTTTCTGTGGAGTGAAAGAGTCTCCTTCTCAGACGACCACACTACTAGAGTGACAACCCGTTCCTGCTTGCACTGAGTGATGAAACGTGGTGACTCATGTCAAACTGAGGCCCCAACGTCCAGCTCTCAGTCGTCGCAAAGGTATCAACTGATCCTTGGCACGGTGTGCCAGTGACAGCGCCCAAAGGTGCTCAACTCCAGTTCTCAAGGGCCAAGGGGCCAGATCGAAGTTGTGAGACCAGCCTGAGCCCGGTAGCCGCTTTAGGCTCTCACCAGGCTACCGCAGAGCACGTTTCCATTTTCGGGCGTGCTAACCCTACTACTTGCCGAGATTTGCGATTTGCGGTTGTTGACCTGGTGACTGTTCAGCCGAGACTCGTTGGATCGGTGGAAAATCGCATTGTGTGCTTCTCGCGGATCCGGTTTACCCGCTCCTACACAAGCGCATATGTCAAACAAGCAAACTAAAGAAAATGATGGCCTTAACCTTCTGCTGCTCTCGCTCGACATGTCGATGCATGTCGTCGTAACATTGCCCCATCACCTCAACAATGCAAGAGGGCAGCAGGCTTTCCGATGTGTCTGAGGTCTTGCATATTATCTGGGCGTCGGCCACTGTAGCGATTCGAACACAATCGCCCACGGCACAATTGCACAACAGGGTCTGTGGTACCTTGTGCATCTGCTCACGGGCGGTCACGAGCCGGTAAATGCTCTTCTCTTTGCTGTCGTCCTGCGTCCCTATGCACACAAGACAGGGGAGCGCGCTCAAAAGCTCTACCTTCCTCTAGGATTGGCTGAGAGCCTCAACAGAACGGCCACACAACCCGTTATGTCCTTCAGGAACGAGAAAGCGGTCTGAACCATGACGCCCGTCACGAGATTCAACATGCCTGAAACTGTAGCACTCGCTTGCATTTCTGTGGCAAAACACTGGCCCCGGCACATAGCTAGTCACTGCAGCAAACGAACGGACATAGACTTGTGCAGAAGTCGTGTAGCAAAGTCTGCTGTTCGACCGGCCTGGCCTAAACTGCAAATCGCCAGGAATAGAATCGCGAATATGGGCATAAATATAGCCAGGGAAGGGTATGCAGCAACTTCCGCCACTCTCAAGCTCCAACTGCTGTATGTGCTCATTGTCAGCAGCGACAGCATGCTGCTGGGAATGTTACCCCACTTGGCCTGGATGTTTGCATCATTTTGGGTGTCCTCGCTGCGACCGACAAACTCGACCATCAGAATGGCATTTGCATAGATGAAAATAGTCATCATTATCACGGACCTGCAAATGAACCGGATGTTGCCGACAAAGCCGTTGACGAGTCGCGACAGATCTTTCACCAAATGGAGCAGCCGAACCAGACGAAGCAGTCGGAGCAAACTTACCAGTCTCAAGGCCGGTGTTTGATTTCCTGCGAAACGCAGGACGAAGGTGTCAAGCAAGGATACGAGCACTGTAATCACATCGAAAAGGAACAGCTTGTCCATAAAGAGTCGCCAGGAGTACTTGATGATGTCGACCACTTGGTTGAAGGTCAAAGTTGAAGCTATCTTTGGGACTACCAAGAGAAAGAGCTCATGCTCTCCCATGACTTCCATCTGATACTTGAAGATGGCACGCAAGAAAAGCTCGGCTGTGAAAGTCAGCGTGAAGAGCGCTTCCAGCATGAACCACGCCATGGCCTCGGCTTGTAAGAGCTTGGGGCAGGTTCTTCAGCTTGGCATGCATCCTTGACAAGTTGAGTGGCAGGGCTTTGGAAGCTTCTGGCGGTCAAATCGGACAGTCTTGGAGGTAGGAGCACCACATCCACGCCAAGCTTGACCGCATTGAGCACCTCGGCATGGGAGGACGATGCGCAGCATTTTTGATTAGCTTGGCCAGTCATTGCTCGAGCCGGGCCACCAGAACGACTGCAAAGAACATGTCGAAGGCCGTTTGGCTCCTGGCCGTTCTTCAAGGAACAAAGTGAAAGAAATAGCTGGCTAGCGGCTAGCCCCATCGAACATCATCGAGCATGTACTAGCTGAGCTCCCCACTCTAGGAATAGTCGCGCTTCCTGCCATTGCCAAGAGTGGAAATTTGTAAAGCGAAAAGCCGCCTTCGCAAAACCTCAAGCTGCTTCTCGATCCTGAATGGTTGAACACGCTCCACCCACTTGCCTGCTCCTCGAAAATACGTCGTCTCTCGTGCATCTCAGGGCTCTCGGATAACTCCGAAATAGCGGCGACTGCTTTTCTCACGGTGGCCTCCCAAGAACTCAGCTGGGCTGGATGACTGTCGCTTCTACTTGGGTTCATGCCGGACTCAGGACATGGCAGCCCACATGTGCATGCACGTGTGATCTCCCACCTCTTTGGACGACATTTTCCTCAGATTTATCATGTCTCCACAAACTGTCTCCTTGCTCACGACTCCCACAGTAAAGAACAGCTTGCATTGTCTCATTGCGGTGTCGCAAGCAATGTGTGTGATGCCTCCAAGCACGGCAGCATCTTTACTCATGCCAGTAGTGAGGGCATGCACGGCAACAAATTAGAATGGATCACATCGCGGAGGTCTGCAACGCATTTAGCCAGGTCTGAGACATGGGACGGTGACAACTCACGGACGTGTTGCTTAAGGCGACAGGTTTGCCAGTGCTTGGCTTCAAGGAGTCAAGATCAAAGGCAATGTGCTCTCGCCAGGGATGGCATCGTAGCCGCCGCGACTTGTTCCGTCCTATGATGGCCTCCGCAACCTCTTGCGGTGATATTCTTTCTCTTCCTACGTCTCGCAGGTCCTTCTTCCTTGATGAGATCACTTCTCGAGAGCATTTCGGAATCTATCTGCTCGTCCTCCCTTTCCCCTCTCCCTTTCCGCTCCAGAATTCCGAACTGCCGAACGGTGCAAGGTCAATAGAGCACTTGCATCTGGAGCCACTTGCACAACCAAGCTTCTGCAACAAAGGTTGAATCTGTGTGCTGCACTCCTTCAGCGAGTTGCCGGCGAGCTCCAAGAAAGCGTCCATGCTGGACATCCTTTCATATATTAGCCATAAACCGCGCATGACACCTCAGTGGAGGTGATGCCTGTGAGCTCACGCGACTTGCTCAGTACGTCTGACATGCTACGGGCGACTGCTAGGCACCACCGTGACATTCAATTATTCTACCAGCATCTGCAATCACGTTGCCCACTATATCCAGCGGGTGAGCTCGCGATTTCATGAAAACCATGCTCTCAATGAACTCGTCTATGGTGATGCCTGCACAAGCCCACTCCATGCCGGGTATGGCGTCGTCTTCCCCCACTCGAAACAAGCAACGATCGACAGTCAAGCTAATCGCAATGATGCTGCCAGCATTGTCGCCCATGAGGTTCTCCACTTCAGAGCAGACGGCATCAATGTCTTGCATAGACACTCCCGCTGCTGAAAAAAGACCGGGCAACTCGGAACGAAGATCTTCGATCTCACCTGTCACGGACATGTACATGCTCCATGACAGCGAGTTTGCGAGGCATCTGCAGCACCAGGCTGTCTGCTGCAGCATGTGAGATGCATGACATGCTGGACAACTTGGACTTGGGTTCATACGGCATACTGCGAAGATCAGCGGCTGATGTGCAGCAGGGAGTAGGCCAATATGAACACAAGCATGACTCATGACTTTTGAAATGTGGCTTCTGCATGTACCGAAGACCACCGCTAGCTGTTACTTTGGAAGCCACCAACTCTTTGACAAGGTGTCGTCAACGCCTACTGGTAGCATTTGAGCGTGCGCCACCCGCCGTTAGTTCTTTGCCTCCTCTCCAACACAGGTCCATGCACAAATGGCTCTTCGGCAAGCGAATCTCCCTGCTTGGAGCGCACAGGTGGGGCTAGGAGTCTACAGAGCATCGAGTTTCAAGTTCGGCCGTCGGTCCTTCATGCTCCTCCCATCATGCCTCGAGTTTAAGACTTTAAGATTCCTCTCCAGAGCAAAGCTGTGTGGAAAGCTGCTGCAGGGGTCTTTGCTGTCGACAGCCGTGAGCTTGGTGCATTCGTGCTCCTTTGCACCTGTTCCTTGACATAACTACGGCGCCTAGAGAGGATGAAAACACTTCTTCCAAGACAAAGAGAAACGTGACCCGGAAGAGCTCGATACTAGATGGCAAGTAGCGGCTTTTGAACGAAAGCAAAGCAGATGCATCGCTTCTCGTGCCTGGCTCCATCTGCACAGTGCCAAGGCGGCTTCGCATGATTCGTTTCATGGAAGTGAGAGGGCGCATGCCTCTGGAAAGAAAACCCAAGCTTCAGGCTTCACAGCTTCAGCGAGGGCGCTAGCGGACGCATGGCTTGGGCTTTCAGGAAGGCCCGTAGGCCACTCGTGGCTTCTTCCAGATGCCCCCTCAACACACCACCAACACACCCACACACAGCAATAAGCTTTGCAGGGTTTGCTTGAGTCTTTGAAGGCGAGTTGCAAAAGCGCGAGTAGACGGCTGCACAGCATCGGCCACAAGGGCCCGCCTGCCTCTTCATTTTCACTCCGACGCCCTTGCCTGCGAGCAGAACCGGCAGTATGCAAGATGCACACATTGGCAGGAGCTCATGACATGCCATCCGCTGCCTACCAAATTCTCGGAACTACCGGCGTTGTCCGGAGAATCACGCCGGAGGTTCGCACGGATGTTCTGAATCTGCTCTTGTAGCGTCTCGTCGTCGTCCTGTGAGCACATGTTTGCAAAGCCTGTGAAAGCAAGGCTGCACACCCTGCGTGCTCAAGAAAGGCATTCATGACGGCGCGCCCTAGATAGTGCGGTAAAGATGCCTTGCAAACGCTCAAATCACTCGCCTAGTGCCAGTCGTGAGTGCACATACGTCTGAATCCGAAATGACGGCAGCACGATTTCTCTGAACGAGGGGGCATCAAAAGCGCAGGGTGTCCAACTGTAGCTCAATCCCGAGGCCGCAAAAAACACTGGACTCGACAGCTAATGCTTCAGAGCAAAGGACGGTGAGGCCTTCGAACAGGAGGCTGATTGTGATTGTCTTTGCCAGCATCAGGATTGCGGTGCCACTTGCATTGGCAGCTGACACCCGCCACCTAATTACCGTACCGTGATGTGCTGTCCCCCATCACCTCCACAAGTCCCACAAGCAAAGCTCCAACCCTTTTAGTGCTTTGTGCTTCTTTTTGCTCAGGCTCGAATGCAGGCATCGGCACAGCGCAGCAACTCTCGATCGCTCCTCCTCAGCCGCTTCCTCTTCCTGCTTGTCGAGCTCTGCGTCCGGCCCCCGTGCCCAACCCTGCAGAATTCGTCGAGAAACCAGATGCGAGTCGTCCTTTCCCTCCTGAACGGATCTCACAGCCATGAGCAAAGTGTGATCGTTGGTGCTTCGAAAAGACAACTCTTAAGACGACAGGCACCTCAGGTTGAAAAAGCGTCCTTCGTCCTTCCCAATGTCTTTTCCGCATGCAAACAAAGACCAAAGCGAAGTCTCCGAAGTGCCCGGTGCTGTCGGAGCTTCAGGACGGTGCTCTCGAACATGTCATCCTCAGGGCCCGTTGGGCATAAATGGAAGTTCGCTCAAGCTTGAAAAGTCTGCGATGGGCGTCCAAGCCGTGCACAAGGAAACTTTAATACGTCTCCTGGTCCCCGCGGTCCAATACAGCTGTTAAGAGCACGCCGACAATGAGGTTGATGATGCCCAGCGAGGCGATCGCCATGAACAGGAAAAGGGCCGGCATGAAGAGCCATCCATCCGAAGCATCGATCCTCCACATCACGATTCTTGCACGCCACGCACTTCGGTCGTTGGCTGAGCACTAGACAAGAACACGTATCTCTACTTCATAGGAGAATAGGAAACGACTCAACTGAGACAACAAGCTCCACCCTTCCTTCGGCGAATCAAGTCAATGCCACTGAAAGTTGCTATCTGGGCCAGCGACAGCATTGAGGCGACAACTCCGTTCCAATCGGCCGCGAGATCAGGCCTAGTGCCCAGGGATCCCTTTGTCAGCTCGTATACGAGGATACCAAAAATGTAGCAAATGCATACGAGCATTGCAGTGGCCCAGGAAAGAACGCGCATTGCGGCCACCATGCTGCTCAATAAGAGCCACAATTGCTGCATGATCTTCAATAACCGAAGCAAGCGCAGCAGCCGCATCAACCGAAGGACTCGCAGCACAGCAAACGCGGAGGTCCCACCTTCAATTTCAATCAGGTAGGTCATCAGAAGGTCAAGCCACGCGAGTACCAGGCATGTGAGGTCGAACTTGGCCCAATTATCTCGCATATGTGAGCGCAGGCTTGCACAGCATCTCTTCACGCGGTGAAGCCGCTCGAAGAGCCAATGAAGCAGAAACTCAATGGTGAACAAGCCTACACAAACGATCTCAAATATTTGGGCTTCCATGCTCTCTTCGTCCACGACACCCTGCGTTGTCAGACCCATCATGACACCGTTTGCCAGAATGACCAGTCCAAAAACGAAGTCCATGAGCAGGGTGTTCTGCATGCCCACCCTTGCGGCTGAAGGTCGCTTCAACAGAAGCAGCTTATTGCAGCTATACATCATTTAAAATGTTAAGTTCAACTGGTTCCAAGTGGCCTGACCAGCTCCTCTTGCAGAAGCTGCTCAATTTCCTCTTCCGAGAGCAAGCAGCCAAAGCGAGTTTCTTCCTCACGACAGGAATGCGCAACATCGTCTATGAGCGCCTGAGCACGCTCACTTCTTGATTACCACTGCCCATTTTTGCAGTCGTGGCAACCGTGCAGCCATGTGTGGAATGATTGGATCATACGGCACTAATGCCATGCTGAGAGTGACTTTTTCTACGCAGTACTCAGTGGGCTCTTCAATGCATTGTATTTTTCAACAAGCTGTTCATGGAAGAGCTGGTGCTGGGTTCATGGAACCTGCGCGGGGATACACACCTGCCTCTGACAAACCCTGTCTCCTCAAGTCTAAAATGAGGGTCCGTTGCTTTTCGAGTGGTGATCAAGGAGTTCACGTCCAGACGCCGCTGTTGCTCTTTGAAGTAGCCGACCGCCTGTTCAGGGATCAGGTGAGGGCGTGAAATGAAGATGGCTATTGCAATGCACCGAGAATTATGCCCGACCTCGACGAATGGATCCAGATCTACGTACCGTTCAGCAACAACGCTTCCAAGATACGCCTCCTCAACAAAAGCTGCCACAACCAGATCTAGAGCTGTCACGGTGCAGTCGGTGTCTTACACTGAGAGGTGTCAGTGTGACGATGTGTGACGTGTCGGCGTCCTCCTCCCGCACTTCCCAGGACTTCATTGAGCCGCCAGCGCTCGTCACGAAAGACCTTTCCGATCAGCGCTTTGCATAGCAACTTCTCTGCACTTCTGCGCTCCGTCTACTTCCCGCAAAACCCCTGAACCAGGATTGAAAGACTGACTTCGGCTGTTCGCATTGTGAATCCCACACAACAGTCGGCCGCTAGCCCGATATGGGCATTAGCAGTCTGAATTTGAGGCAAGGCACTGGGTCGCGAACCATGCCGACTTCCTTGCGTTCTACATGCTCCATCTTACACAGCGGAACCGAACTGCAAACATGCAGCTGAACGCTTCCTTCCTCGCAGTCAGGCTACGTGTGGGAGGCAGTGCTCGTTGCTGTTGTGAGTTGCGGTCCCACTCCTGATGTTGATGTTCGTAGCTCCTGGCTGCGTGATCTGCTGCCGCTCCCGGTCGTCATCTTGGAGATGCGCATATGCTGAGGCTCTGGTGTGTCGGGTGGCAGCGCATAGCTGACGCCAGTGTTTGTAGACGGACGCTTCCCAGGCGAATTCGAATTCCGCGAATTCCTGCTGAAGTTGCTGCTGCGCAGCACTCCTGCGTCAGTTGTTTCACTAGCTTCTACAGGAGCCTAGCGTGAATTCAACAAGACGTCAGGCTTATGTCCGAGATGTTGCATGCTTAAGGTATGCTCCGGGCTATGGGCAGAACATGGCAGAACAGATGGGATGTCTTTCACGAAGTACGGGCCTGACTTCGCAGGTTCTGTCGCGTCCGATGAGTCCATGACCCGATCATCGAAGAGATTTGAGTTTATATGAGGTTAAAACGGCTCCCAAGATAAGCCGTTGCGAGACGATGTGGTCTAGACGTTAGGCTCTGCCAATTCATCGTCAACAATCGTCCTTGCATGAAGAAACGAGACGTCACCGATGGCATCTTAGACAGAACATTCATGGTACCTAAGTACGATTTGAACCTAAGAAGTCAACATGGCGGTAGATAACGGTAGATATGCTTAAGTGTAGGCTTCAGCTGAAATGCTGCGGCATCCCATGACAGAGCAACGCAAAGCCAGCATCTTGGCACATGTTCCATTACAGTTGCATTCTGCATTCTGTAGTTGCCGGGCCAATGTTGAGAATTGACAACTTGCTCGATTTTCAGCTGTCGGCTTTGCCGCATCCCAGCTGCTTTTTGGTTGGCGCCTCTGAAGTGGCTTGGCCCCCGGTTCTGGATTCCTGCATATGGGGTCTAAGGCACAGGTTGCCGCGGTTGGGTATAGATCGGCCCATGCCTTACATCGAGCCGGACTTTTTTCCTGCGTCTGATGCAACGCCTCCTCGAATGCCTTCAACTGCTGTAGAAACCCAGCCTGCAAGAGCGGTTGCATTGGCTGCCACCAGCATGTCGGAAATGCGGGCACACTCTGCTGGATAGGATTTGACGACGTGCTTTGTCCGGCGTTGCCACCCAAGAACTGCGCCACTGAAGCGGTAGAGAAATCAACGAGCTCCAAGCATTTGGTCTGCAGCTGCCCGATCTGCGGTCTTGTAGTAGCCGCATTGCGCCACTGAGACAAGGCACAGGATGTGCGCGGCTGCTCCATAAGACACGTGCAAGTGGCAGAAGAGTACAAAACAAAGCGGGCCTTAGACAGAGCTGCTCGAACCTGGCACAGAACACAAGCGAGTCCCTTTCGAAAGGCTTAGCGATTCTTGCTCTTCCTTAACGCAATCTACCTTTGTCCCGGCACCTCATCAGATATGCCAAGACAACTGACACTGACCTGCAATGCAACCGATCAACAAAGCTGCCGGTTGCATGAGTGCCTTAATGGGAAAGTGGTGCTTGGATCTAAGGCCCCCTTGAACGACACCTGCCTCTCACGTAATCACCTACATAATGGAGATGCTGAAGGTCTCGCAGAGTCACCTTATGGTGATGCTGACTTGTTTGCGCCATTTGTTGCTGCAAGCAAAACAGACCACAGGATGATAGACACTCCACGCATGCGCAAATGCCATCCAAGAATGGCTTTTTGCTGCTTAGAACTATCTTTCGCTGTGGGTCGCCCCGACACATCGCCGTCCAACCGCGCACTGGACAGTTGAAGGCGCGTTGAAGCTTGGTGAGGTTCTGGCTTCTTTTCAGTGTGAATGTGCTCCCTCACGGGTCGCTTCTCGGAAGTAGCATGGGTATAGCACACACGAGGCGATCCATGCGATAATCAGGTTAGCTGCCAGCTCATTGGCACAGGCCGACCATTGCCAGAAAAATAGCGGATCTGACCGAAACCTCATCTGCTGCAAGCTGCAGGCCTGGAAACGCCTTCGCGACAGTGCACCAGGACGCAACAGTTGTAACCTCAGCAACCAAGCAGCGTGAAAGAATGCCCTTCCCGACAAGCATTTCGAGGTGCTACTGCTTACGAAAGGGTCATGCATCACTTCGTGCGGAGCTGGCAGTAACAGTTAGCTTCTGAGGTGGTACTGTTTTCCAGGACTTCCTGCCAGCCTCATACACGTCACGCACGCGCGAAACTGGAAACCGCCATGGTTGTGGCAATCACGTGTGATCGGTTGAAATACTGACACCAGCCACAATGTGTAATGCTTGTTGCGTACGATGACGACCAGAGAACTCGGGCAACCCAAGCATCCGACCTACCTGAAGCCAGGAAGCCACTGATGCAAGAAATAGGAAAATCGAAAGCCAGGCAGTCTGCAAGCCAGCAAGCTTATCGCTTTGTTCCTGCTCGTGACCCCCTTACCAGCTGCTTCTTGAAGTCTAAGCCCGCCACTCTGTGTCCGGGCATCATGGATGAATTCCAACCTCAAGCTCGCGAGACAAGCCGAAAATGATTAAGAAAAACTTCCGAAAATGTAACGATTCAAGGCATCAGCGCTGCATCTAGAACTTGGAGGAGATTGGCAGATCGATCGTCCTTCGGGATTAACTCGACAGTGAGATAGCAGCACCCAGAGAGTAGGTTCCAGTCCTCGATTGCAACTTGATGGTACGCGAACTTGCCTTCAAAAACGTTCGGGGCCTTGCAGACCATTCGGCTCGAGCTTCAACAATCGGATTGTCTGACTGTGGCACAAGTTTCTGTCAGCTACATGGCTGGCAACACATTGGCAACATCGGCGCGCTATGAGTGTCTTTGCCTTGGTGACATTGACGATGTGACTTACCCCAAGTTGCCTGCACAGGTGCGCATCAAAGAGTACGAACACCTGGGAGGCAGTGTAAAAGCGCCTCAGCAACGGCAAGCTTTGGGCGAAAAAGGCGCCGCCTGACAGGGTGACAGTGTTCAAAAGCGGGCTTCGTGCCGGTTACAGCGCTCTAGCAGTGGAAGGGCGCCCTACTGAAGCCTGGAGTAAGCCCACGAAGCACCGACTGCAAAACCAGCAGCATCTCATCCAGCAACCAGGTCAGCAAGCAGTTAGGATCAGCTTGCATCGAAGGTGTCAGGGAGACCAAACACTGGGCAACAAGGACTCTAAGAAAGATTGGAAACATCGCACACGTACTTTGACTGACTGTGACTCGGACCGCTGAAGACAGTGCTTAATCAGTGCAGCAAAGCTTCTGATGTAGAGGGCGAAGCCTTGGTCCGTGAGCACCTTTACCACATGACCACACGTATTCCAATGCAAGTTTCAATGCTACCAACACGTTCAACTCGGAAAGCGCGGAACAGCTGCGCGCCTGGTCAGCCACTGGCTGCCCGGCGGCTAGGGCCGATGCCCGGGAAGCCCCCAGGAGGCTTGGCACGGTCAGCGGCTCCTCCGTTGGAGCGATTTGCCAGGTCGACCTCGGAGAAACGGGCCAGAAAAGCTGGGTGTTTCTGTCGGTCGATTGCAATTGTCATCGCTATGATGATGATGAGGACGATGATGATGATGATGGTGGCGATAGTGATATCTTGATGGCCACTCACAGTGCTGCTGGCCTGCTGCTAGTCTTGCTACTGCTGTCCTTGCTCTTTGACAGGAAGCCTATAGATGGAAAGTATTGCAGCCAACGAGTTGCTCATTGCCAAGTCTTACTGCTTGTCGTATTGCTCAACCGGCAGAGCTGTTGTTCCAGTCGGTGGCTTGGGGTTGAAAGGCATGTCTATTGGGGCTCTTGTGTTCTAGCCGGGCTTAGCGTGTCTGCCGGACGCGGTTTGCGGGGTCTCTCTCTCTGATGTCTCGTTCGCAATGCAGGCCTGTGCCTTTGACTTTCGAGCGGCCTGGGCCCTCCGGCCAGCCGCCGTCCTCGGTGACGAAGAACCTGCAAGCAAAGCATGTGACCAATCTTTTTACAAGCGAGTCAAGGGAGTCTCGTCTGGGAGAATGGCAAGTTCAAGAACTGCATGATGCGTCTGGGCACCATGCAGTTGGGATGATGGCACTGAACCTGGATCGGCGACGTGTGGGATCGTGGCGACACTCTGTGCTCGGGTGGCCGGCCACGACTAAGCACCTCCCAGGCTCAGGCTACCCAACACAGTACGGAAGCGAAGCACGGCCGCCTGCGCAAGTCTGCCTTCTCCAGCCTGCGCGAGCTTCAGCTCAAGCAAAGGGAAGGAGAGGAAGGCTTAGAGTCTTAGAGGCGTCCTGCGCTTTGCGAGATGGAAGGGGCCAGTGCCGCCAGGCCCTTGGTTTGGCGACGGGCATTTGCAAATTCAAGAATGGCATGCCGTGCACTTGGGGGCAGACCGAAGAATGCCGCTAAAGCTGCTGCTGCAACCGCAGGGCACCTGTTGTCTCCCCGGCTGCAGTGTATCAGCACCTCACATCAAAGGAAAAGTCGAAAAGACAAAGAGGCGATAGGATCAAGCCAGAAGCTGGACAAAACGAAACAGCCCTCAAGAGGCCGGCCTTCTCCCCCTGCTGCAGGCTCCTGCAAATCCGCAGGTTTTATCGGATTTGATCGGCATTCGCTGTGCATCGGTGGTGTTTATGACAAGCACGATGAAAACCGAGATAGGTCGGTGCGGGTGTTGACTCTATCGGAGGCAGCGCTCGGATGAAGGACAAGGGTTGCAGGCGCCTCGCGATGAAGCGGAGCGCCTGGGGCAGCAGCACTTCCTGCCACCAGCGCTTTGACGGATCGTGCCTTGGCAACACAACATTTAAAATAAATGACCGACGAAAGACCAAGGACACATGTAGACGGTTCGGGCTTTTCGGTATGTCCGGCTCTTCGTAAGCATCCCAAGCCTGTAGGCCCCTTTGCAACTTACAACGCCTCACCCAGAAACAAGTCTCAACGACAGATCTCATGAAACGACTAAGTTCACCTCGTCATTCCCAAATTGATCTGGGTTGGTCTGATTGAACAGTCCAGCTAAACTCTTGAATCCTACGAAAACTTGAGAGGGTGTCATGATAACTTTCGTGGATGCCATCGCCCAAGTCTGCGAAAGAGATGAGTTTTGTGATAAATGCCTCTGCTGGCCTGTTTACTGTGCGTTTCACTTGCTTAAATTGCTAAACCGACTGTTTTCGGAAGTTGGTATCGTGCCGAGATGGCATGTGTTGAAGCCTCGTGCCAGGATTAGGCCGAAGACTGAGCGGTGGACTTCTTTTCATCCGCTGCCGGCAAGTGCAGGTACCGAGGATCACCTTGTGGCAGCGAATGGCAGCTATTGAAACATCTTTGCACAACAAGTTTCCGGAACCGACGTTGAAAGACAAGACAGGAATAGCTGTGTCGTGCAGTCACACACTTACCAATCCAACTAAAGATGGCCTTTCATCTCAGGATGTTCTTCGCCTACAATCTGCAAAGTTCCCAGAATGGGCATGGCTGAAGAGGGACACAGGCAGCAGACCTCCGCAATTCAGCACCGCGTCGACACAGTCCTTTGAAGCAAGATTGTCGAATTGCCGGTTTTCTCCTGCTGAAGGCGTAAGCTGCCGGCCCAGACCCTGGGTGGAGCAGCGGATGCGAAGTTGCCAACGGCGACCCCTGTGCCACCGATGAAGGACAGGCACACCTGGACTCGGCAATTTGACAAAGGCTTCCATCAGGGGCGAAACTTAGTCTTGCACCACTTGGTCCGCCACGGAAACTTTGGCAGTGTCCTTGAACACCACACTGGGATCCCGTCAGACAGGTTCTTTACTGGCAGCTTGATCACCCACCTTCTCACTCCCCTGGCAGATGTTTAACTATCCATAGCAGCATGAATTGAAGTCAAGCTCAGACTGCTCCTGCGTCGGCACGTCCATCTGATCCGGTGGACCCGGTAGAGCCTTGATGGCAGCATCCACCTGCGGAGCCCAGGAGATCTTCGCGCCGGGGAGCGCTCCCAAAGGTCGCCAAAGCCCTGGGCCCCTCGGAACCCCCGCCCCGCCACCAGGGCCGGCCTCCTGAGGCGCGCGTCGCGCCAGCTCCAGAAGCTCCTCCGCCTCACGGCGCGCTCTCTTTGAGCTCTCTTTACGTTTGGCCTTTCCAGGGCGCCGCGCGTGCAGCCAGAAGCGCGCCGGGCCGAGGCCGAGCTGCCGAGCCCAGGCCTCGGGACATCGCTGCGGACGCGCGGCGCGCCGTTCGCAGAGTCCCCCCGAGGCCTCCTCGTCATCGCCCGCTCCCTCACAGCTGAATCGGACTCGGAATGCGCCACAAGATGCCACAAGCAAGGCCGTAAGGCCGTGGCCTGGATGTAACTGGTACTCCCTGCCACCACCTGCAAAGACGACTCGGCATTGGCACTCTCCGTGACCCTTTGCTTGCAGCACCTTCGACGCAGAGACGCACAAAACGATGGCATGTTCCTCTTTCAGAGCTTCGAGTTCCTGCGTGAGTCAGCAAAAGCCGATTTTGACAATCAATGGAAATACTTCTGGGCTTCCGACATCTCTCAGCTTGTTCAAGTCCTGATCATGTGAGGCACATGTTGCGAATCGGAAACTTGTTGTTGGACTTTCTCGGTCTCCAACGTCTGTCGGGCAAGCCCAGAACGGTCGAAGCCTTCTGCCCTTCCTTATCGAAAACACGACACAACGACAACGCACTGTCAAAGCCCCACCCAGGATAAGGCTGGGGCTCTCACAAAGCAGCTGCCAGCTGCATAGCTTCTGCTTCCGGCAGATTTTTTCGAAGCCTTGTGCTAATCCCACTCTGCTCTTAGCCATCCTGACCGCCGGGCCGCTAAAAGTGAAGGATCCCACTTTTCGACCCACTCCGGCAGGAGCTTCAAGATGTCAGGCCGTTCTGCTTCCGCCTGCTGCAGCGAACAGAGCAGAAAGCGCGGATGCACATGCTTGGAGTGCTGCTGTCCGAGAACACGGCAGTGCGCAAGTGAAGAAAGGCATCTGAAAATGTTTCCGGACATGTGCCTGGCACCTCGCAATACAGGAGTTGCTCAGCTGTTTCTGCACCAGCCTCGCTGCCTTCAAAGTAGCCACCATGCTTTGCAGCACTGCGGTCCAGATCGGTAAGGTTTTACTCCTCCGGTCGCGTAAGGCAGTCGGGAATCTGACATCCCAAGCCAAGACATGCCGAGGTAGACGCAAGGCGTCCGGGAAAGTCTTCCTGCAAAGAAAGTTTTCAAGCAGCTCGAACACCAGGAGACAACAGTCCTTCGGTCCTTCGGTTTCCGGTGCAGTCGACCAGGACCACTCCGCCAGAGTCTGGCTCGGAGCCAGAGCAGACAACACGAGTCTTCGTCTGTTCTTCCAGCTGAGCTCTGAATCGCACAAGCCGGACGGCACCTGCTGCCATGTGCGCAACGTGAAGGTTCAAGCGACCGATGCTGAAGTCCCATTGATTCCTCTTCTTGTTTGAGCGGGTGTCGCTCTCGCGCAGGTCGCTCTGCGTCCGTGCAACTGATTAGCATTGGGGAAAAAGACAGCACCCGGACCCCGTTGTATATTACCTTAAGGAGGTCCCATAAGAAACGCGCGGTGAGGAAGTTTCAGGGCGAGCTGACGAGCGAAGGAAGGTTTCCCAACGATTTTGAACCATTTTGCATGTTCGGCCTCAAGTAATATGTATAATGAAAAGGAAGACAAACCTCCACGATCACGAATGTAGGTGGCTGTGTATGCTGTGTACACAGCGGGACGGGACGGAGTACGGAAACACTACTGCCAGCAGCACGCACCCTAATTTTGGCGACTGACATGCCGACCACGTTTAGTAGTAGTAGTAGTAGTAGTAGTAGTAGTAGTAGGCGCCCCCCCCGCCTACCAACTACCTCTGCTGCCAACCCTCTTAAGAGCACGTTCGTCTTACTCGGTATTTACGGAACGTTCGTCTGGTGGGGGGGGGGAGTGGCGGGGGGATGATGACGACATTGGTACACAGACACCCCGAACAATATCTCCACAAGAGCCGTTTTACTCGGTATTTACAGCACTTTCGTGATGGAGGACCCTCTTATTCGATGATGGTTGATGATGGTGATGATGATGATGATGATGCATGATGAAGCATGATGATGGATGATGATGATCGATGATGATCGATGATGGTGGTGGATTGAGGCGCCAGGTAGTTGGTAGGAGGAGGGGCTAGTAGTAGTAGTAGTAGTAGTCGTCGTAGTAGTAGTAGTAGTAGTGGTGCTAGTGCTAGTGCTAGTGCTAGTGCTAGTGGTAGTAGTAGTGGTAGTGGT